TTGTCTGTAGAATGTTCCAGTTACAATTGAGTCACCATGTTCTGCTAACTATTGCTTCATCAATCTCCCAGCTTTGTCCTTCACTCCCCCAACGTTGCGCTAACCTCCACCCTCATTCATCCTTCATCACTATCACTCTTAATTCACTCTTTTGTCTCCACAATCCAGTTGTAAAACTATAAATTGTTCAGCCATTTTTCACTTGTGAGAAACTCGCTTGTATGTCTCTGGTCCAGTTCTCTCCTTGGGTATATAAGTAATAAAAATGCCTTGGCTAAACCAGAAAAATGCAGAAGGTGAAACTAATTTTTGGATAGGGTCAAAGGAAGTGTTCTTGCCTATGACACTTACTACCTAAGTAACCATGGGTAAATCACTCAGAATATCTGCAGCTCAGTTTCCTTATCTCTAAAATCGGAGATGGGATTGGATTAGAAGGGCTCTAAGGTTTCTCCCAGGTCTAGTTGTGTGATCTGATGATGTGAAAGTGTTTTGAAAACCTTAGTGTTATATAAATGCCAAATTATCATCATCATTATCCTCCCACTCTTTTCCATTCTCCTGCCATTACCATTTTCCCAGGTATCAGAGAAAGGTCAAATATACATGGTGTTTTCTTTGGAAATGAGCTGTCCACAGTGGACCACAGAACCACACTGGACAACTCTTCTCTATTTGCTAACCTCAAGCTACTCGGCCCAGCAGCCACGGCGCATCTTTGCCTGCAATTGTTTTGCATTTATAACAAGAGCAATCTCCCCTCTGTCAGCAGAGCACTATTGTTAACAACTATAAATGTATTAAAAACACAAGGGCATTTTCATCTGTGTTTTGTGCATGAGAAATATTGTTGCCTGACAAGCTCCAATTGGCAAGTGAAAAGGGGCCTTATTGAAGGAAACAGCAGTAGCAAACAGTGAGCTAGGCAGAATCATGGTAATTGTCCCTTTAACATTGGCAGCGTGCATTCACTTAATATGACTGCTGCTCCGTCTCTGCCTCATCCAGACCCAGAGGACCTGTTAGACAAGCCGCCAGCCACCTCTCTCTGGGATCAAGCTGTCAATGCAAACTTGCTTTCTTTCTCTTTTTCTGAGCTAAGCTCTACCCCCAGAGCTCGGGTTGCTTTTCCTGAGTGAAAGCTTTAAAAGAACTCCATTCTAAATGATATCACCCGCACTGTACTCTTCAAACTGACAGAACAAAAGAACCAAATTCCACAAGCTGGGTCTGAGTGACTTGTTAGTTGCCTGCCATGATGACTTCCTACATCCGTGGTTTATCAGCGCACGTGGGCAGAGGTTCGGCCTTGCTGAGCCTCATCTCTCACTAGTTTTTAAAAAAATGGGCAGGTGAGATTCTTGGTCAGAGACTTCCCAAAAGGAGGCACCACTCAGGGACTCTAGGAGGGGTATTTATCATCCCGATACATTGCAAGATAGACTTGAGAGCCTAATTTACCTGTAAAGACAGGATGGTTTGGCAACTACTGGAGCTATTTCCCTTCTTAGCCTGCTCTATCTTCAGCCTAGCATGATGATCATGGCCGGCTTTCTTGATGAGTCTTTGTCAGTATCAATTTTACAAGTGATTATCAGCTTTTTTGCCTATCCATTTTCCCTTCCTGACATACCACCTATATAGAGTAATGAGAGTAATTTCATTATGGGAAGGGTTATGACAACAAACTGAGTGTAGTGTGTACTCTGGAGTCAGATACCCTGAATTTGAATTTCACCTCTGATGTTTACTACCTTTGTGACCTTGAGCCAGTCACTTAAACTCCATATGCCTTAGTTTTCTCATTTGTAAAATAAAAGAGTTGCATGACCTTTCAGTTCCTTCCCTGCTTTGGATCTAGGAACCTAATTCTGAGGCATGACGCTGATTGTCTTATGGGAATATGATGCTTTCACCTCTGAGTGCCTGAACTAAATGCTCTGCCCACTAGGAAGAGTGAATGTTGTATCATATTCCATGTAAAAGGTGTGGAATTCTATTTCCACTACCCTTAATTAATAAGCTGGTCTACCCTGTGATACCTTTATTAGCTCATTGATTGAGTTACGGAATCAATCAGTCAATCAGTAGGCATGATGTGTATACAAAATTATTTATACTTTGGGATGTGAACCTCTTTGACTAAGTCATGATGAGAAAAGGAGCTGTTGGCTAACAAAAGAAGCTAAACCACACCTCTGGTATCTTTAAATAGCAGAGGAAGATTAGATAATCACAAGTCCAGAATACTCCAGCCCTGAGGTAGAATATTTCACTTTGGGAATTGAGCAATCTATTTTGAACCAAACTCTTGAATAGGAACTACTCTTGGATAGAAGGTTATCCCTTGAACCCTAATGTGAGTAGTAACTAACTTACCCTCTGAGGACCTCAACTTATGAGTTTAAACACAAGTTGAGTGAGTGGAACCAGAAGAGTTGTTACTTATTTAAAATGCAAACACTTCCAAACTCTTGGGAGAAGAAGGCAGAGAGCAAAACAAAACAAAGCAAAACAAAACAAAAACAAAAACAAAAAAACCCACCCCCTTCCATTGCTTGAGCCTGTAGGAGACAATATATCCAGCTGTGTGCCCAAACATACTAAGGACTCACTGAGGACAAATCCAACCACACAAGGAAAGAAGCTTCAAGTACCATGATCCACTTGTGCCAAAAAAGAATTCTGGTGATAGATTCAAAAGAAGACTGAACAGTAATCAGGAGTTGTGAGTTTCCCCTTTGGTCACACATAGTCCCCGCACATGTCCCTTTTACCATTGCATCTTAATTTTGAGCCCACTTTTACCGTGGATTTGTACATATTTACACAGGATTGTGCTCCATACATCTAGAGTGATGTTTTACAGAAACTTTTCTTACTATGCTTAGTAAAAATCCTTTTCTAAAACACTAATTGAAGCCTGGATTACTGATGTTAATCAGAAGTACACTGGTGGTGGCTCATGAGCTGTGCCGGTGTTAAAAGCCCTGACTTCTCAGGGTTACCTCTAGAACTCTAATGGGAGTGGTAACTAACTTACCTTCTGAGGTCAACCTATGAGTCTGAACATGAATTGGGTGAGTGGTCCCAGAAGAGTTGTTACTCATTTAAAACATTAACACTTCCAAACTGGTTTACTAACACAAAGTGGTTAGTATAAGACCTGTTCCTAGAAAGTGTAGTGGGAAGCTATGTGGAGTTATGGATAGAGAGCCATTCTCAGAATCAGGAAGATTTGGGGTCTAGTACCATCTTTGACACATGATGGCTATGTGACCCTGGGCAAATCTCTTAAGAGTAGGGCTTGTTTCATTCTTTGTATCCCTAGCAACTTGAATAGTGCCCAACAAATAGTAGGTCCTTAATAAATGCTTACTGATTGATTGATATCTCAATGCCCCCAAGAAGTTCACTAAAACTATGAGCTGTAGGGGCCGCTAGGTGGCGCAGTGGATAGAGTATCGGCCCTGGATTCAGGAGAACCTGAGTTCAAATCTGGCCTCAGACACATAACACTTGCTAGCTGTGTGACTCTGGGCAAGTCATTTAATCTCATTGCCTAGCCAAAAAAACAAACAAACAAAAAAACTATAAACTGCAGAGTAGGTATTATCTACTGGTGAGAGGGGATGTCCTTACCAGGATTTCTCTATGCCAACGAAATAACAAGTCCAGTCTCTTCAAAATATTAATAGGCTACAAAAGTCTTAAGGGGGCTAATTTTTATCCTTTAAGTGGCTAAGTATTCCCTTCATCCATATCATCAGCACAGTTGGTTTAGAGCCCCCTGTGATCATGATGTTATGCTAGGCCTTAGAGAGAGATGAGTTGAGGAAATGAATGACATTGTTTTCTAGTAGATGGTCCTGGGTTCAGGTCTTGCCTTTGACACAAATTGGCTATATAATTATGGAAATTAGCAAGTCACTTAGTGTCTCAAGGGCCCAGGCAACTTTCTAGGACTATAAATTATAAAGGTATTAATTGCCCACCAGATTCTTGCACTGGGAATTCTCCCACATCACTGCTAGAGTTCTAGGCTTGGAGTCAGAAAGACCTCAGTTAATTAAAATACTAAACCTGACCCTTAGAGTGTGGAAGTCTGGGCAGGTCAGTTAACCTCTATCTGTCTCAGGTAATTTCTTAGGGCTATCTGCTAAGTGGTAGACTAGTAACAATGTGTTTTATAGAAAGCATTTACACACTGGGAGTCTCCTATGCTGATATAATCAGTTAATTTACTCCCACTGTTATTTAGCACTTCACGTGCTTATGTTTTATGTCCTAAACTTATATGCTGTTTTGAGCTGCCTCAGGAGAGAATAGGTTCACTCTCATTGGAAGCCTGTCATAAGAAGGTGGACGTTCAATTGTCTTGTAAAATACAGTAGAGATTCGTTTTTGGTGTGTGTTGACTATTATTCTATGATTCTCTGATTCTTTCCAGCTAGATCATGAAGTTGCTTGTGGGCAGGGTCTTAGCCTTATTTGATCTGTCACAGTGCCAAACACTGTACTTTGCTCAAAGTAGGTACTTTATAAGTGTATTTTCATCTCAGGGTAGCTACAAGCTCACTGTGGTGATGAGCTAAGTCAATATCTTTAGACAGACAAATGGCACAGTGGATAGAGCATTGGCCCTGGAGTCAGAAAGACCTGAGTTCAAATCCCACATAAGACATTTACTAATTGTATGAGCTTGGGCAAGTCACTTAACTTCAGTTTCCTCAACTGTAAAAGGGGGTTAACAATAGTACCTACCTTCCAGGGTTGTTGTGAGGATAAAATGAGATAATATTTGTAAATGTTACAAATATTACAACATAAAGTAGCCACTAAATAAAAGTGGTTTCCTTCTTTATTTCTTGGTTCCTGAACCATAAATGGTGTTTAACCATTAATTCCATTGGAGTGAATTAACTTGGAAAGGTGATAAATTTTTTAGGTCAACCCATTATAAGGAAAAGGAAATATATGTGAAATAATGGTGAACTTACCAGAATCTTCAAGGGGATTTTGGCTTGAACTGGATAGTTCTGCTAGAAAAAGAGAGAGGGAGGGAAGGAGAGAGCAAGACAGAGAGAGAGAGAGACAGACAGACAGACAGACAGAGAGAGTCAATGAGTCAATTCATTATTTTTTAAAAAAATTGTTAGGATTTCTTCTAACCTCACTTTTTTTTTTAACAGTTAGCCTAGTGGAATTTCCCCCATCCATTTGGTTCTACCTGCTATCTTCAAATCCCAAAAATGGATTTTTAAAGACAATAATTGTAAGGACTGCTGTTTCCATAACACTAAAGTTTTCAAAGTGCCTCCCTCATAACAATAGGTGAATGGTGCAAGTATGATTGTCCTCATTTCACAGATGAGCTTTTGGATGTTGTGAGCCTTGCTCTGGTCATGCAATTAATATATGTCAGAGCTAGGATTTCTACCTAGTTAGCAGAACTCCAGTGCTCTAGAAACAACTAAACGTTTTGTAGATGAGCAATTTTACATAGATATATAGGTATAGCTATATGGATAGAGAAGACAGGGTAGAAAGATAGATAGATAGATAGATGGATGGATGGATGGATGGATGGATGGATGGATGGATGGAAGGATGGATGGATGGATGACTAGATAGATCTCTGTTGAGATCTTGAACAAGGTACATGGTAGATGCTCAGGAAATGCTTGTTGCATTTGAGGTGGTATGTAAAACACTTTTCAAAATAATATTGAGTTGAGGTGGTATCCTAGACCATCATAGATTTTTAGGAATTGATCAATTTGGATGTGGTTTCCAGTGACCTTGATCTTTCATTACTCTCATTAGTTTGTCAATGAAGCACTTAGGAATCATATATGACGTAAAGAAACTCATTATTTGATTACAGTGTTGAATTAACATTTGCTTTGAAAGCCATCATTTCTTATCTTCCACTTCCTGTCCTTTTTATGAGAATTTGGTTGAATGAAATAGACCATGAGAGATCTTATCAGTGGACAAACTAGCAACCACAGAACCTGGATGGAGAAGACATTAGTCCAATGTAGTTTACATTAAAGAGACAGAGGGGTTTGAGTGGCTTGTCAGATCAATAAGAGGAAAACATGTGATGTGTCAGCCAGAAGAACAAATGTGACCTTGGGCTATGTTCATGGAAATATCATTTCCAGAGCAAGGGAGTGGATAATCCTCTATTGCTCTGCCTTGATCAGATTCCATGTGTAGTTGAATTACGGACACCATATTTTAGAAGAGACAATGATAAACTGGTGCTCAGAAGAGGATAGGGCATGCCAATGGAAAGACAACAATCAATCTGGCTAAGAATAAAGGGGTCAGGGGAGGAAAATGGGGATGTTTAGCCTGGAGATGAAAATGACTTTTTAGGAGGTAGTAGTTTTCTGATATTTGAAGAGATGTCAGATGGAAGAGGGTTTAGATTTGATATTTGGCCCCTGACACCAGAACAAGGAACAGCTGATGAGAGTTCAACAAAGTCAGATTTGGTATCAAAACAAGGGAAAGTTCCTTAAAAGTGAGAGGCGTCTAAAAATGGAAGGAGCTCCCTTGGAGATGAGTGAGCTGCCTAATCCTGAATGTCTTCAAGCAGAGTCTGGATGACCAATTGCTGAACATGTAGTAGGTCGGATTTGTGATGAGATAACCCCCACAGATCTCTTCCAGATTGAAGATTTTATGAATCGGTAGTAATGTTTGTGAGGTAAATAATGATAACTGACATTTGCATAGTGCATTAAGTTTTGCATTGCTTCATTGGGTTCTCATAATACCACGGCCAGCATTCACATGGGTATTTATTCTATTCTAAAATCACAAACTTCACCCCTGGTCCTCTCCTTATAGTAAATGTACACCACTAGTCAAAATGGTGGTGTTGGGGGAGGGCAACTAGGTGGCTCAGTGGATAGTGTGCTGACCCTGAAGTCAGGAAGACTCACATTCCTGAATTCAAATCTGGCTTCAGACACTTACCAGCCATGTGGCCAAGTGCAAGTCAATTAACCCTGTCTGCCTCAGTTTCCTCATCTGTAAAATGAGCTGGAGAAGGAAACGGCAAAACACTCTAGTATCTTTACCAAGAAAACCCCAAAGAGGGTCATGAAGAGTTGGACACGACTGAAACAACTGAACAACAGCAACGAAAGTCAAATTGGAAGCTGGGAAAAAGTATGAATGGCTCAACAGCAACTGATCACCATTTCTGAACATCTAGATGAAAGTGTGAATGAAAGTAGTATCAGATCAAGAATGGCTTCATTCTCTGTGGGTGTCAGCAGGCTATGTGTGCTCTGAGATTTGGGGAGATGCACGTTCATAATTGAGCTAAATGAGGATACTAAAGTCAAGGGAAAATACTGGATGGCTAAAGCAGAACTGTAACTCTCACGGGTCAACTCGGGCAGCTAGGTTGTAGAGTGCATAGACAGCAGGAACTGATGCCAGGAAGACCTTGGTTAACAGCTATGTGACCCTGGTCATTTAACATTTCTCAGCCTCAATTTCTTCATCTGTGAAATGGGGATGATAGTACCTACCTCAAAGGCTGTTGTGAGGAGCAAATGAAATAATACAGACATTATAATGTAATATGTATATATATTATATACTCTATAATACATATATTATACATCATTACCTATTATGTTATATAATAATTTTATGCATATTATTATATATTATATGAACAAGCTATTTTCAAACCTTGTGTAGTTAGGACTATATATAACTGCTAGGTATTACAATAAGAATTATTATTATGATAATGATGACGACGATGACCGTGGCAATGATTAGTTGCGAATCACTCCCGGTCATAGACATACTGAAGACCAGAATTCCTCCGGGGTGGCACATATGTTCTTTTCTAGGTGGAATATGATCATCCTTAGAGCACTGTTGTCATGCTTTGCACCCCCAGGGGTCTATCACCATGGCTTCTATTTCCTAGGGACCCTCCTCCAGAGAAGGCACAGGCTAGATTCTGTGGAGGATGGGAGGCTGCCTCTTCTCCCAGCAAGCATCTAAACTCTATTCAGATACAAGGACGCCAGTCTTCAATGCCCACTCAAACTCCCACAGGTGCACACGCACACACTCAGCTGAATTTCTCCAGTCACAAGAATTATTAGTTACAGTTCGGAGCTAAGGGATTTGAGTATTGAAATGTTTTCTATGCCAGAGTAGACTTTCAAGGTGGATTTGCTTTTGTTTCAAGCTCAGGATTGTGAGACTCTTAGTGGTCTCAACAGTGAGTTGTTTTTAAAGTGAAAAAATCACCATTTTGGATAAACCAATATATTTTGATCCGAAACAAGGCCTCTAAGGATTTGTTAGCAGACATTGAACTGAACTGGCTCTTTAAGTATGGGGAGTCCTTTAATTGTCTTTTCTTGTGTCATTTTATCCTGGAAAGAGGATGCCAACGTTAGCAATTCTAACAAACATACCAGCAACAGCTTAAGCAAGGCAGGCAGTTTTCTTCGATCCTTCCTTACTGTGTATGAAGGAGAAAAGTAGCAGCCACCCCATTTGCTGCTCTTCCTTGATAACATTTTATCTTGAGCAAACAGGATGGTGCCAGTTTGGAGGTTGGAGGACTTAGGGTCAGATCTCATCTCTGATACTACCTGAGTGATCTTGGGCTAGCTCCAACCTCCTTGGACTTAATTCTCCTCATTTCTAAAATGAGAGGGTTAGAGGAACTGGCCTCCAAGATCCCCTACAGCTATAAATCAATAATCCTCTGATCTCCCACCTCTGGGCTTTTGCACAGGCAGTCCCCTCTACCTGGAATACATCCACTATTCACTTTCAAACTCTTAGAACACCTGCTTGCCTTCATGACTCTAAGGCCTTCCTTCCCCTATTCCCTTTTCCTGGACATTACTTTGAGTACATTCTGTATACACAATTTGTATATACAATATACTGCCACTAAATCATGAACCCTTTGAGTGTTAGCCTGGTTTCACTTTTGTCTTCGTACCAGTGTTTAGTACTTTTGTCTTTCTTATAATGGGTCCAGATATGTGAGTTTATTGACATAGTGAACTACCAATGGAGAAACCCCCCTCTACCAATGTAGATTGCCCCCGCCCTTCCACTCAGAGTGTTAGAGAGTTGTTTAGGCCACTGATAGACTGTTCATTCACTCACTCTCTATCCACTCTGTTATTCTGCCTTTCCTTTGGCATAAGCTATAGGTGTTTAATAAATGCTCATCAAACAAATGAACTATGGTCATATAGTCTATTTCACCATGAAGAAAGAATAATTTCCTAATCAGGCATCACGCCCCTAGTATACACCCAGGTATCCTCTGGATTCTGGACTCTCATTTAAAAATGTGTTTCCTAGCCCTTCTTACTGTGAATATCATTGACAATGTAAACAGATGCACTGTTTGGCTTTGTTATTCTGAATCCAGACTGACTGAAAGAATAGCTCCAAGGAAGTGTTATTTTTTTCATTCCTCAAAGCTCAGTTATGAGTACTTAATTTTTTTCACTTTGCATTACCGACTGTCATAGCCTTACCAACCAGGTTTTCATTTTTTTTTTATTTTCTGGCTAGAGATATAGATATTTCTTTAGAATCTTCCTCTTTCAAAATATCTGCCATAGAAATAAATATGGCAACAAGTTTAAAATATTCCAGGCATGTTACAAGTTGAATTTCAGCATTTGAGACATTTATCAATTTCCTCAAAATTTTAGAAAAATAAGATCATAGGTTTTGAGCTAGAAGGAAACCTTTGGATCCTCATTCTTTTTCCTCTCTTTCACACATGAAGAAACTGCGGCCCAGTGACTTGTCCAAGGTCACACAGGTTAGAAGAGAGCAGAGGAAGATTTGGAGCCCATGTCATCCAAAACCAAATTTAATCTGCCTTCTTTGTACCAAGGTGCTTCTAGAGCAATGAAATTGCAAGTTTAGGACACTTGGTAGGCAGCTTGAAGGTAATGAATGTTTCCCATAAAACTTGATTCATCCTTTGAAAAATGAGAACAGTTAATAG